ATAAACTGACTATATATTGGCTTTAATTTAACTACTAAATCCAAAATACAATTTAACTACTAATTTTAAATTTATCAGTTAACTCAATTTCAGGCTATTTGAAATTCTAATATGTAACAATTTTTAACAACACTCTCGATAAATTCAAAGAGTTGGGTTGCAATTTGAGCTTGAAAGTTCATTTCTTACACTCACATATTGACAATTTCCCTGAAAATCTTGGTGTTGTCAGTAACGAACAAGGGGAAGGTTTCATCAAGACATCAGAGAAATTGAGAAAAGGTATCAGGGAAGGTGAAACATTAGCATGATGGCTGATTACTGCTGTTCATTGAAACAAGTTGCTCCAGATGCAATACATAAAAGAAAGACCGCAACACGTAATTTGGAGACAAAAAAAAAGGATATTTCATAAAAAAAGCAGGATGAATGAGGATGCATATTTCTTAGACATTAATGTTCTTCCCTTTTTTTCAGCATGTTTGTAATTTCGTTAATAAACCTAATAATAAAAAATGTTCATTGTGGTAAAAGAATTAATAATTTGATCTAAGCAAGAGTTTTTTATCTTCCCGATTTGTAACAAATCCATATATGATAGAAAAAAATTAATATTATTTTCGAAATCTGCATAGCTGAATTATGTAAAATATGTTATTAAAACCAAAACCACTTTTATGAAGTTTAAATTCACAGGTTTGTGTTATTTATAAACATTAATTTAGCATTGTTCTATATAAAATAAAAACAATGCCAAGAATATTACAATTAGCATTAGAAGAAAAAAAAATTGATTATTAATAGGTGTCAAATTATAGGAAACCTTTTTTTTATTCAATATTTCTATTTATTTAATGTGTACAATATAATTAAGTGGATATACTTTGTATATATTTATGTATTGCTATAATCTTTCTAAAAAGTAGGTTTTACAATGTGCACTAGCCTGTGTATAATTTCATTTTCATTACTCCTGAATTTTTATACTTTTTCATATATATGTTAGAAATATTTTCTTTCAGTTTTTCTGTAGCTAACCTTTTTTCAAGAATTTCTGGATCAGTAATACGAGTATTGGTCATGTGACTATGAACCCCACTACGACCATGCCAACTCGGACCCTAAATTAGAACAAAATGAATATTTATACAAACACATTGAGAAGTATTTAACAAGCAATCTTTTCAATAAAAATTCATATTGTTATACTCACCTACTGGGCTCCTTAACTTTACAATAGATTTTGGATACATGTTTGCAAACGTAAAAATGATTTTGGGAATATTTGGACTTTTGGTAAACTTTAAATGTTTTACGAGTGCTTTTTCTAAGCAAGCAACTGTCTCTTTCAGTGACATACATTTATGTATATATAGTATGCTGTATGCATAAAATTGTCCAAAAACCAAACTAAGTTTGGAGCCATAAAATATCATGAGACATGGTATATACATTCAAATGTTGCATGCAATTTGATTATCTAGACTGCTAACCTCCATTAGTTTTGTAATACGTGACTTTATTATTTTCAGTTCTAGAATGGCACCACAGTTTCATAATGTACAAATTTATTATATACGTATATAAATAATATCATCTCATATTTCATTAAACAACAATCTTATCAATATTGCTGTCTCCATAAGATTTAATTTCATGATACAATGTAATTTTTCCTCAGTAATACAATAATAACTTTCCTTAACAGTATATATATGAAACCAAGTTTTATTACATGAATTTCCTACAGCAATACCACATGAAACAAAACATTTCATTATTTTATTTCACAAAATAGAAAAAAAATAAGGATGATGTAGGGATGGCAAGGCCAAAAAATACAGATAAAAGGTAAGGATGAATACACAAAACCATACAAAACTCCCTAAATAAGTAGCTAAATCTTTCCAAGAAAAACTTTAACCTGCAACTAAATGTTGAATTCCTTTCATTTGCATGAATTCAGGTTTGAATAAAAGCATTTAAACTGAATAATCCTATAAAGTCTTACAATGGCTAATTCCCATAAGCTAGTAACATAGGCTTAGTGGCTACTTATGTAGCGATTTTTGTATGGTTTTGTGTATTCATCCCTACCTTGTTTCTGTACTTCTTGGCACTGCCATCCCTATATCATCCTTTTTTTCTTCAAAATGTTTTTACTACTTGTTTCCCTTCTTTTTTTAAACAATACCAATGAATATTTTATAATGAATGGCAGTCACTATGAAGGTAGCAGTTTTAGCTTGGCATGATGAGTTGTCTTGATGGACACCATGTGTCGAAGTTGGTGAAATGCTGTACTGCTTCTGCACTCCCAAAGTTAAAATGCAACATTTTGGTGTGTAAATTGTTACAACAACTTCAAGCATTGATGAGCTAGCCCTTATGATGCCAGAACAAGACTAATCAGCAGAACATTTGGCTGTTACGCTACTCACCAGTTTTCTACATTAGAGATGTTTTTTGGCTAAACTGAAGGTCTTAATAGTTTTTGAAAACCTCGAAAATCAAAGTTGGGTGTTCATAAAAGTCTCTTAAATTGTTATAAGAGAGATTTGAGGCTATGATGAGCAATACATAATATGTTGACCATTTTTTAACCATCCCATCCCTACATACTAAGCACTACCATGCTTAGTGATACAGTATAATCTTTAAGTTACCTGTTAGTAATATGTAATGCTACTTTTGTTTCTTTTCATAATAATGTTTTTATTAATGGACAAAATATGCTATACTTATTTCATTGTTTCTGTTGAATTTGTTTATTCAAATGTTTATTAACAATATAAAGGTGCTTCCTGATCAAAGTTGGGCCTAGACTCAAAAATTGAGAAGAGAAATCATTTTGCAGTGAACTCTATTGATCTTTTTTTTTATTTTGGCACAAAATTATTTCTCTATCTCTTGAGCCATTTGTATGGCTTTATTTGACCTATCAGTTTCATAAACCAAAGTTCATTACTTCACATTAAATGACCTGAAACAAAGAAAGGGTTAAATAAATTTTACTTCTCATACTGTCTGCATGTTAATCTCAAAGGGATCTTAAGAAAGCTCACTACATGAAAATCCCCACATTTATGAAGTAATCTGTTATAACAGTATCACAGCATACTTACAGCACCTGCTCCACCAGCAACTGTTTCATAATATCCAACTTCTTCATCTCCAAATGTTATATTGTTCATACAACCCTAAACAATGACAAAACAGATACCTATACAATACTTTTAAACATGGATACTATAAAATTACTTAACAAAAATTAAGAGTTACAATAACATAGATGCACACTACTGATCAACTTAAAATATTACATAGTTGATCTAACTTATTACATAAAACAAAACTATTGGTATTTCTATAACTATTATGAACTCACCACTACATTTCTCAATTTAGATTTTCTGATCCAATCATCAATATTTTTTGTACTATTTAAATTGTATATACAAATATTCTGTTATGCATTTCCTTAAAGAGCAACTGATTTATAAAAGGTTTACCCCATGTGGTTCAATCCTACAGATTCATACAGTGTTGGATAGAACATTTTTTAAAGCCAGGGCTCAATATAAACAATACCAATATGTTATTTACAAAGTACAGAATGAAAGTTCAATAAATATATAACTAAAACAATTATCCAAATACCAGAGAGTAAACATTTTGTGGAAACAGCAGTCTTAACTCTTTACTGTGTGCTATATTAGATTAGGTTCTATAAAAGGAAACTTTGTTTACAGTTGTTTGGAAAACAATCATGCTGGTATTGGTATAGTAAGCATGCTTCACATTGTATGCAAATTTTAACAGTTAACATTTTTATACACACATTTTATAGCATTTCAGACATGAAGGGTTTTTCCATTTAAGGTGTGGTGTGTTTTAACTACTAAAACCTGTGAATTTTCCTCACATATAATAAGTTTTTCAAAATCAGATAAATATTATTGGCCCAAGAAAAGCAACTTATAAATAGATAAATGTAGATCCTTAATATGGATTTACTTTCTAGTTGTTATACAACTGCACATAATCAGTGTAATCCTCCACCAAGAAAGGATTCAGAAAAGTTGAAATAAGACTATAGAAATGTATTTTACATTTTTAGATTTGAAATTAATTTTAAACATGTATGTACCTCTGAATTATTAAAAGCCTATTCATGTTGAGTTGCTCTCATTTTGCTCAAAAAATATGTGATACAGGAAGAAACAAAAAAGTCATAAAGGCATTTGGTTCACTAAAATTTAAATTCTTAAACAAGAAGGTAACAACAGGTCTAGTCTGCAGCAATGGAAAATATGATAAAGCAAATCTGAAGATAATCCAGAAACAGAGTAGATTAGATGGACTTGATTCATGGTAAAAAAGAATAAAGTGGATCAGCCTTATAACCTCAAAAATATTGGACCAAATGAGGACACCCAGAAAATTCATTCTTCTCAGCATGGTACTTCCTTGTCCTCATCACCTTTTAAGTAACATATACAGAAAGGGGAGTCAGGGGGCATATATTTACCCATGGAACTGACACATTCTCAGGTGTGGTTTCAGGTAGTCAGAATCAGATCTCAATACATTTTCTTCTGCTTGTAGTGGAAAATACTCAGTGGAGCTGATGAGTAATATCTAAAGACTAGACATGCTCCTGAGGCTAAGCCCCCCCCCCCACATCCTCATCCAACAAGGCAATAGAACATCCACTAACTTAATAAACATATATATATATATATATATATATAAAGCAGCAAGGTGTTCCTAATCCTGGTTGGAGATATGAGACATTGTATAGAGAACAGTCATCTTGTCCCTGATGTCTTGAATACTATGTAAGGACATGCAAGCAGAATTGGGAAAGGAACCAACCAAGGTATCATCAACCACTAGATGGCATCCTCTGTCTACTTTCAGAAAGCATCACTCTTTCTTGAAGCAGGAGCACAGAAGATGAAATTTTG